GAGTGGCAGCCTCTTCCTTTATTTTCATCATTGGCGGCCGTTTCACCGATTCGTCCTCCTGGGCATATGCATCACCCCTTCTGTCTGAAGATTTCAAATATGAGGCACCCTCGGTGTGCACCGCCACCACAGTCTTCTGTGCTAAAGTTTCCATCTGACTCAGCATCTTTTTATTTGGCTTATAAATTTCTTCTGTATGGGAACAATTCCAGCTGCAGTTTTAGCTCGGTAATTTTCCACTCTTGAAGACCAATTTTAGCCTGACAGAATTTCCTCGATGTTAAGGCAAATTCTTCAACATTTATCCTCTACCGATCCGGCTCGGTGGACCAATGTAAATTGGGATCATTTAAAAGACCAAACGTCTTTTCCGTTTGAGCGTTTGTAAGACACTGAATTTATTTATTAAAAACATTTCTTAAGAACTAGTTGTGATAATATGACTTAACCTAAATTATAACTAAGTGTAAATGAGAGAGAGAGAGAGATAGATACCAACCGTACACATGCATATGCACCATGCCACCATAAACCTTAGGGGGAGGTCATACACACGCATAGCTATCTCACATGTGGCAAGCAAACATGCTGCACTTGCTTATCAGTCTGAGTAAAGATTACATCCCATAATCTAACTCGACCATAACACATGCAGCAATTGAAAATTCTGTATTATTTATTTCTAACTCGAAGGTCTGCTCACCACATTTTCTTATCTTATTTCATGTGGACTGTATTAAGAAGATCCCAGTTTAACAAATCCCTCTCATCTACACTAGGTAGCCCCGCTTTTCTCTTTTATTATAAAAACATGTTCACTTATCCGTGAACAATAGCAAAGACCTAAAATGGTAAAGACTAGACAAAATGCATTTTGAGCAAATGGTTTGTGGCTACACTATATTGAATAACAGCTCAGGACAGAGGTATCTATGTATATAAAAATCAATTGTTGTTCGTTGGTAATGGAATCAGTTGAGAACGGCTGGACCAATTTGCATTATTTTTTTGTACAAACGTTCGTCATATCCCGAGTTAGGTTTTTAAAGAAAAAATATTGACCACGCCTCCTTTTACGCCCACTATTACGATTTTTCTAAAATCTTTATATTTGCCAAAATAGTGAAGATATCGGTTTGAAAATTATTACACAAGATACTGTTGACTTTCCATCCAACCCTAAGTATTTATTTGGGGCAGAGGAACTGACCACGACTACTTTTTAATCTATATATTAAAATCAATTATTAAAATCAATTATTAAAAAATTAAAATCAATTGTTGTTCGGTGGTAATCGAATCAGCTAAGAACGGCTGGACGGATTTGAATATTTTTTTAAAATGTTCGTCCTACCCCGATTGTGGCTTTTATGCAAAGAAAAAGTGACCACGCCTACTTTTACGTCCATTTTTTCGATTTACCTAAAATCCTAATATCTGCCAAAATAATGAAGATATTTGTTCCATAGTTAGTATATGACGTACTCTTGACTCTCCCTCCAACCCTAGGTATCTGCTTGGGGTAAGAGGAACTGGCCACACATACTTTAAATTTATATGTATACAATTTAAAAAATATAGTAACACATCGGTTGAGAACTGATTGGCCGAATTGACTCTAATTTTCTTTTGGTTGTTTGTAATTATAGTGGAAACGTTTTCATGAATGAAAATTTTGAGAAACCTCTAGAAGTGAAAAGAATTCAGAATGCATTTTGGAATTGAAAATTCTTGTTGAAAAAAAAAAAATCGAGAAAGTATGCATATATTCTATACAATTTTGATTAAAAAATACTTCTCAAAGCATCAAAACATTTCAAACTCCAACGTACTTTCAATTTGTGGTTATGCTAATTGGGGAAAAATAGTAAATTAAATAGTAAACAGTTATTGCCGGTATTGTTTCCACAATACTGAGAACTTTAAATGTCAAATTATAACAAAAGCATACAAAAGGGTGAATGTTTAGCGGTATTATTATACCTAAACGTATATATTCCAACTTCCTAGGAATATTGTATAAATGTTCAAAAATTAACATAAATATTTCGCCTTTATTGCGATTTTAACGAACGGCCACATACACAGACGGATATAGATTAACTGACATAGGATTTTGCACAAAAATGGTCTGATGAATAGGGAATAAGTCATAAAGTAGACTTTTCGTAATTTTTTTAACAAATGATTTATAACTTCGAAAATGATTTCGAGGCCTTCAAAATACCTCAAATCGACAGGTTATATGGGAAATCAGTATTAAAGGACTACACTTAAGTGTACTGAAATCATAAAATGCCACATTGGAGCACATTTAATCGACGAATATTAGGAGATAATATTATATGTGCTAAGTCTGGAAGACGCATATTAAATTTGGTGAGCTCTAACGTAAACACAACAAAAAACCACAAAACAAGGAAAACAGCAATAAGCATGAACACCGCCAAATTTGTAGATTGACTATAGCTGCAAGCCAACATTTGCTCTGTTCCAGCACTTGCAAGAATCTACTAGTTTTGCAATTTTCTTCGATATCATAAAGGAAAAATCGGTTATCGTAGTAAAAACTTTTATATTCTTACAGTTCTGGAACAGACCAATTGTTTATCAAAGTTAAGGCTTTTTAAAGTGAAAAGATAACCATTTATAACGCGGTCCGGCTTAGCTGGTTCACCATAAATATGTATTGTGCACTCTATATTAATAATTTGAAACGAATACAACAATAAACCACAAAAGAAGGAAGACAGCAATAAGCATGAACACCGCTAAATTTGTAGATTGACGATATTTGCAAGCCAACATTGTTTATCAAGGCTTTAGGCTTCTTAAAGAGAAAAGCTAACCATTTACAGCTTATATTAGGTTCTTAAAAATATGCATTACACGCTAATACTATAGGCCAGCAACGCGGTCCGGGTTAGCTAGTCTTAATATAAAAACCACAAAGTTTGAAAAATCCAAAAATGTGGTTTCAAAATTATATTTCATAGACCTTTTCAAAAATTTACATATAGCCTTAGCGGTTTAAATCAGTTAACATTGGTAGCTATGTATCAGAGGGCTGCCTCGAGTATGCAAAAATTCAACCACACTCGGTTTCTTACATGATTTTTGTTGATGCAGTCGTTTAGATTGATCTGAATGAAGTTACCGTTTTCGCATCGGATCGAATCGAACGCTTAGTTTGAATCACTTCACTCACAATTAAACATGAGTGTTCGAGACGGTTTGATGTATTCAGCAACATGAATAGATCGACACATGAATGTAAATGAGCAATCACAATAGTGATTGTTTTCTTTGAATCGAGTTCGTTCAGCGTCACTGTTTATTCCACCATTCAATCAAGGTGGGACAGTTTATTTTGACTTTTATAATATTTGAAATTGAAGAATATTGTAATAGTGCGACCAAAATTGTTCCAAGTAGAATCTACACACGTGTAGGTAACCGAAATATCGATGTTTGTGAAAAATCTTGACCAATATTGTAAAATAAGAAAATATTTAAACATTTTAATGTGTTTCTTTATTAAAAATATTAATTTTGATTTTTAGAAATAAGTCTCTGAAGTCTAACATGCCAAAAACCGAAATAAAATTAAAATTCTTTATTTATTAAATATAATTTGTACTAATTTCTGTAATGGGGACAGCTTTTAGTTATGAAATCCTCAGTAAAATTACAATCATGGTCTCGCTCAGATTCGAACAATTGTATTTTTTTATTAAATCAAATTACTCACTTAACTAGGATGAATCAAACCGATCAGAATCATCATAGATGATCGATTCGTTATGAAAAATTCAACATAAGTTCGTAAACAAATAACTCATATGAGCTGTATGATTACGAACACAAAACATCGATCAAATGTTCACAAGAAAACAAATATGCCAAAAATATTGGTTGTTTGGCTTTACTCTAGTTTAGTAAAAACACTTAATTTTTTTCCAGTGGTAGGTATTTTTACCCTGATTTCGGGAAACTATTGTTTTCTTGGGGGACGGACCCGGGGCCCCGGATTTTTGACCCGAAAGTCCGGGTTCAAGACCTCGACTAGACCCGAATCCAATTACCCGATATAGACAACATAGTTATCGGTTATGAAAATACCTACAAACATGTGGTCACATGATGGGGTAAGTGGTCACTGTTCGGAAGTTATAGTTAAATTTTCGATTTTTGGACCCGGATTTTTTATAAAATCCCCAAAAAGTCAAAAAAGGTTCCATTACGGGGGACATCAAAATTCATGCCAAATTATAGCTGACACTCTTACCTTTCCGAAATGCTACAATTTGTGCTAATACGTTTTTCGGGTCCAGAGATATGGGCCTTTACATTCGCATAACCCGGTTCTAACCAGTTAATAAAAAAAGTTTCCAATAAAAAGGGTTTATTTCGCGTAGCAGTCGTTGGAATTACAAAAGTTTTCTAAATTTGGCAATTTTTCTAAATAGCAGGCCTTCGGCCGGGACTTTAGATTTTCTCCTCTGGGTATGTCCTACACCAGCTAACGCGAACAAAAGGTTTCTAAATTTGACATTTTTGGAAATAGGCGGTCTTCGGCCGGGGCTTGAGATTTTCTCCTCTGAGTATGTCCACAGGCTAACGCGAACCAATGTTTCTAAATTGTAAACCTTTTGTAAGTAGCCGGCCTTCGGCCGGGGCCAGTACCAATTTTGTCTATATCAGGCAATTGGATCCGGGTCTAGTCGGGGTCTTGAACCCGGACTTTCGGGTCAAAAATCTGAGGGTCCCGGGTCCGTCCCCCAAGAAAAAAATAGGTTCCCGAAATCAGGGTAAAAATACCTACCTAACTTCGGAAAAATGTAAGAGTTTTTACTAAACTAGAGTTGTTCCCTCAATTCATCTCCCAATCCAGAAGTATTGCAAATTGTCGTCTTTTTTTAAACAAAACAATTTTTATAATAAAATATTTTTCCGAAATGGAGATAAACGTACCTACCTCTGAAATAAATTAAAAATGGTTTGGTTTTTACAACAAAGTTCTAAAGTTAGTACATATTTATTGTGCCAGGTGTAGTCTTTTTTTGTAAATAAAAATTAAATTGTTACATGTCTTTTAAAGCTAATTCTATTCTTTTTATGAATTCATTGATTTGATTTCTATTAACTTGGAATTGTATATAACTTTCGCTTTTACTTTGTAAGTCAATGCTTAAACTCAAAGTAATATTTATCAATATCTTAAAATTTCGATCAAAGCTGCTGTCACCCAAAACAAGCCTTACATCCCAATCAAATGATTTAACTAAAGGACAATCGTTACTATTTTGTTCTCTTATAAGAAAACGGATAATCTCCTCTTTTCTAGCTGAGTAAACTGATTTTATGATATATTGCAACTCAGGGGAAAACATTGACTGGTCATCAATATCTCTTTCCGAACAGCACATTAGTCGATAATGTTTGGCCATGTTACGCGAAGCTAGCAAAAAGTCGTCTGGATTGTGAAATCCGAACTTATGACATTGCCGCATCAAGGTATTTTCATCTTTATTTCCAATGAGAAAGTCAATTGACTGATTGAGAATCTGAGAGATAAATTTTATCATTAAATACCACACAATTGAATCACTGGCATTATCACCTCTATCAATATTTCTTTATTATCAATATTTAATAAAAATTCGTACTGTCCCATTTTGTTTATTGTGTTATATTATACGAGTTTTATAGTCTCGTTCGAATATAGTTCAAAATATTCACAAACCGAAATATTGTTACGAGAGCTCTCTAACTGGCTTAGAGCATGTTCAGATGTGCTATAGAACAAATTGAAGTGCATAATGGTTTTCTCATATTTAAGCCATAGTGGGATAATACTGGTAACAGCAAGTGTTGTGCAACTATCGTAACTACAAACATATACACATTTGTTTTTGTACGTAATAGAAAATGGAAACAAAATAATTAATTTTCAATAAATTATTTTAATTTGTCTTTTTAAATTTAAAATGTTGAGGAATAGTTATTCAATTATTTAATTTGACTGTTTTCTTATCATTCCTCTGAATGTAAAGTTGCTAGCTATAGGTCCAAATCTCTCAACACTTCAATCAATCGCAAAAAAATCGTGGAAAAGGCAACATCACTTTCAAATAGAAACCAAACTGCATAGATATATAGGCCCGTTCTTATATCTTTCCTTTATAATCCACTTTTGTTATCCTTTACTTTAGGAAGGATAAGGTTCACATTATCTCATTACTACATCTTACCCATGGTAGAAGAATATAGGTAGATGCGTCAACGCTTGGGAACATTGATATGTCAATATTTTTTAAGTGCTTTGTCAAAAATAAGGCGAGTTTTATATGTTTTTTTTTAATGACATGTATTTTACCACAATTTTTACAAATTTCAATAATTTTTCATTCACGATTTTCAGTATCAAAATCGGTTTCACAGTTGATTGTCCCAGCAGCTGTGTCGATGCGACTACCTGTATTCTTCTACCATGATCTTACCTTTGGAATATATGAATTTTTTACAGAGATATGGCTAGCTTTTTGTAAAAGTAACTGGTAGTCACTGCATTTTTTTCACAATGACATCTTCATTTTAGTTTAAAAATAATCAACAAAACACCTGCGTGAAGTAAGCAACGTTGCTAACTATCGATAACATCGAATTTCACCAAAAATACAGGGTGACTCAGAACATCGAAATTTCACATTTAATACCTTTTTTTCAACTGTGCGTCAGAGAAAAAACCTGGAACCGATTTGAAAACAAAATTAATTTATAAAATTATGGATGAAAAAGTCCATGAAATAAACAAATTTTGTTCCATAATGAATTCTCATACCCCTGTTATTAATTCCATAAAAACATCGCAAATCAGTTTATGATAAAAGAACATTTTCAAATTCTGATATTTCACTGGTGGTCAGGGCGGAAATCTGCCTCTGGAAGCCTCCATATAAAAACGTCCAAAAAACTGTGAATGTCAAATGAAAGTGGGAGCCCTTACGAGTATTTTGGCATATAAAATGTTCTCCAAGTCAGTTTTTGGTAGAAGAAATTTTCCAATTTTCTCATATTCCACTGGTGGTCAGGACGGTAATCTGGCTCTGGAAGCCTCCATATAAAAACGTCCAATAAACTGTGAATGCTAAATGAAAGTGGGAGCCCTTACAAGTATTTTGGCATATAAAATGTTCTACAAGTCAGTTTTTGGTAGAACAAATTTTCCAATTTTCTCATATTCCACTGGTCGTCAGGACGGGAATGTGGCTCTGGAAGCCTCCATATAAAAACGTCCAAGAAACTGTGAATGCCAAATGAAAGTGGGAGCCCTTACGAGTATTTTGGCATATAAAATGTTCTCCAAGTCAGTTTTTGGTAGAACAAATTTTCCAATTTTTTCATATTCCACTGGTGGTCAGGACGGGAATCTGGCTCTGGAAGCCTCCATATAAAAACGTCCAAAAAACTGTGAATGCCAAATGAAAGTGGGAGCGCTTACGAGTATTTTGGCATATAAAATGTTCTCCAAGTCAGTTTTTGGTAGAACAAATTTTCCAATTTTCTCATATTCCACTGGTCGTCAGGACGGGAATGTGGCTCTGGAAGCCTCCATATAAAAACGTCCAAGAAACTGTGAATGCCAAATGAAAGTGGGAGCCCTTACGAGTATTTTGGCATATAAAATGTTCTCCAAGTCAGTTTTTGGTAGAACAAATTTTCCAATTTTTTCATATTCCACTGGTGGTCAGGACGGGAATCTGGCTCTGGAAGCCTCCATATAAAAACGTCCAAAAAACTGTGAATGCCAAATGAAAGTGGGAGCGCTTACGAGTATTTTGGCATATAAAATGTTCTCCAAGTCAGTTTTTGGTAGAACAAATTTTCCAATTTTATCATATTCCACTGGTGGTCAGGACGGGAATGTGGCTCTGGAAGCCTCCATATAAAAACGTCCAAGAAACTGTGAATGCAAAATGAAAGTGGGAGCCCTTAAGAGTATTTTAGCATATAAAATGTTCTCCAAGTCAGGTTTTGGTAGAACAAATTTTCCAATTTTCTCATATTCCACTGGTGGTCAGGACGGGAATCTGGCTCTGGAAGCCTCCATATAAAAACGTCCAAAAAACTGCGAATGCCAAATGAAAGTGGGAGCCCCTACGAGTATTTTGGCATATAAAATGTACTCCAAGTCAGTTTTTGGTAGAACAAACTTTCCAATTTTCTTATATTCCACTGGTGGTCAGGACGGGAATCTGGCTCTGGAAGCCTCCATATAAAAACGTCCAAAGAACTGTGAATGCAAAGTGAAAGTGGGAGCCCTTACGAGTATTTTGGCATATAAAATGTTCTCCAAGTCAGTTTTTGGTAGAACAAATTTTCCAATTTTCTCATATTCCACTGGTGGTCAGGACGGGAAACTGGCTCTGGAAGCCTCCATATAAAAACGTCCAAAAAACTGTGAATGCCAAATGAAAGTGGGAGCAATTACGAGTATTTTGGCATATAAAATGTTCTCCAAGTCAGTTTTTGGTAGAACAAATTTTCCAATTTTCTCATATTCCACTGGTCGTCAGGACGGGAATGTGGCTCTGGAAGCCTCCATATAAAAACGTCCAAGAAACTGTGAATGCCAAATGAAAGTGGGAGCCCTTACGAGTATTTTGGCATATAAAATGTTCTCCAAGTCAGTTTTTGGTAGAACAAATTTTCCAATTTTCTCATATTCCACTGGTGGTCAGGACGGGAATCTGGCTCTGGAAGCCTCCATATAAAAACGTCCAAAAAACTGTGAATGCCAAATGAAAGTGGGAGCGCTTACGAGTATTTTGGCATATAAAATGTTCTCCAAGTCAGTTTTTGGTAGAACAAATTTTCCAATTTTATCATATTCCACTGGTGGTCAGGACGGGAATGTGGCTCTGGAAGCCTCCATATAAAAACGTCCAAGAAACTGTGAATGCAAAATGAAAGTGGGAGCCCTTACGAGTATTTTAGCATATAAAATGTTCTCCAAGTCAGGTTTTGGTAGAACAAATTTTCCAATTTTCTCATATTCCACTGGTGGTCAGGACGGGAATCTGGCTCTGGAAGCCTCCATATAAAAACGTCCAAAAAACTGCGAATGCCAAATGAAAGTGGGAGCCCCTACGAGTATTTTGGCATATAAAATGCACTCCAAGTCAGTTTTTGGTAGAACAAACTTTCCAATTTTCTTATATTCGACTGGTGGTCAGGACGGGAATCTGGCTCTGGAAGCCTCCATATAAAAACGTCCAAAAAACTGTGAATGCAAAGTGAAAGTGGGAGCCCTTACGAGTATTTTGGCATATAAAATGTTCTCCAAGTCAGTTTTTGGTAGAACAAATTTTCCAATTTTCTCATATTCCACTGGTGGTCAGGACGGGAAACTGGCTCTGGAAGCCTCCATATAAAAACGTCCAAAAAACTGTGAATGCCAAATGAAAGTGGGAGCCCTTACGAGTATTTTGGCATATAAAATGTTCTCCAAGTCAGTTTTTGGTAGAACAAATTTTCCAATTTTCTCATATTCCACTGGTGGTCAGGACGAGAATCTGGCTCTGGAAGCCTCCATATAAAAATGTCCATAAAACTGTGAATGCCAAATGAAAGTGGGAGCCCTTACGAGTATTTTGGCATATAAAAAGTTCTCCAAGTCAGTTTTTGGTAGAACAAATTTTCCAGATTTTCTCCTCTAGGTATGTCCGACACCGGCTAACGCGAACAAAAGGTTTCTAAATTCGGAACCTTTTGTAAATAGCCGGCCTTCGGCCGGGGCTTGAGATTTTCTCCTCTGGGTATGTCCCACACCGGCTAACGCGAACCAATAATTTCTGAATTTGATGCTTACGCGAAATATACCTTTTTTTATTGAAAACATAGTTTTAATTAACGGGTTAGAATCGGGTTATGCGGATGTAAAGACCCATATCTCTGGACTGAGTAAAGGTATTAGCACAAAGCATTTTGGAAAGGTAATGCACCCTTTTTTGACTTTTTGGGGGTTTTATAAAAAATCCGGGTCCAAAAAATCGATAATTTGACTATAACTTCCGAACCGTAACATGTGACCACTTGTTGGATAGGTATTTTTATAAGCTTTCCAACGATATCTATATTGTCTATATCAGGTAATTGGATCCGGGTCTAGTCGGGGTCTTGAACCCGGAATTTCGGGTCAAAAATCTCGGGTCCCTGGTCCGTCCCCCAAGAAAAAAATAGTTTCCCGGGATCAGGGTAAAAATACCTACCTCTGGAAAATTTTTCGAAAATATTAAAGAGTTTTTACTAAACTAGAGTTGTTCCCGGTTTTATTTAAATATTCTACACAAATATAATAATATACAATCATTGACTAATTCACTTAATAATTTATATCAAATATTTGTTTTCGATCTATAACAAAAGGCAAAAGGCGAAAACACAGCAGACAAGGCAGAGTTGGTTTTATGCGATTGTCGCCGTCTAATATTGACATATAGCAGCTCTTACGACGGCGTTAAATATTTAAGATATTGTGCTGTTCACACTCCTATCTTTGGAGTATTGTAGAAGAATACAGGTAGATGCAGCAACGCTTGGGAATATTGATGTGTCAAAAAATTTAAAATGTTTTGTCAATAATAAGTAGATTTTTATATGTATTCTTATACGATGCAAATCGGAGGTTGTTATGATATGAATTTTTCAACAATTTTTACAAATTTCAATAATTTTGTTGTTACAAAATGGCCAGGCTTAATCCCTTTATTGTTGTTT